GTGCTCTTGTAAAACCTGAATTTTCCATCCATTTGTTTCGCATTTTCAAGGCCAATTCAAAAGTGAAGTATAACCTATTCCGTAATGAAGTTCAACAATTTTTTTTAAATCAAATGAGGCGGTCAGTTTTTAGACACGCTGTTATCAACTGAGTTGGCAATGTAAAATGGCCACCGGCATACACTGACCGAGGCTGTTTAACATAGCATTAACGTCCGTTCTTTCAAAGCGTTCAACAGATCTTTTGCGAGTCTCGCTACTCGATCGATAACCGTTCCAGTAGCTTTTTACGTTTTAAACAATTTCCGCGATTTGTTTGTCGCGACTGTCTGCACTGTCGAAGCATGTAATGAAATGATTCTGTAATTAAGCTTCAAACATGTGCTCTTCAACAAAGTTGTCCCAGGTTCTGAAATTAACAAATTTTCATTCAAACGTGGAAAAGAAATCCATCTTCCCTAAAAATAAAATTTGTTGGGCCAAACTGAATATCAAAAGAAGAAGTAAACTGGTTCTCGGAATTAATTAACCCTTCACACCCTAACATTAGTATTCATGTTCTCCAAACTTTTTTGTTTACATTTCCTGTGGAGCTGTCGAGGAAAATTTAACAATTAAAGAGTTTCCTATGTTGTTTGTTACAATGTTTAGTTCAGGGGTAATAATGTTATGAGAACTTTTGTTTGTCACGCTAAGCGGCAAAGGGTTAGGTGTATTAATTGATTGAAACCGATCGAAATCTACATTTCAGTGTTTTTAAGAGTAAATTCAGTTTGCATCTCTTTTGTATGATCTCCGAGTATCTGAAGGTCTCGCCCCAATGTAAGTTTGCCCTACTGCTAACTTTGTAAGTTATGGCCAATCTTGGAATTTTCTGCAAACAAGCATAAAATGGTGTCAAACCAGATAAAGATCAGAATTATGAAGCGGCCTAGTATTATTAACCTGTTCCAGGCGTTCTGTCATTAAAACGAAGCGCGATACTAAATAGCGCCACAGCAGCGGGTTGTGTTGAAATCCGAGGAGCACTAATGACAAGTTTCCGAGTCGTGTGATTATCGGAAATTGTCGGCTATTCTAACATGGCGGACTGTTCTGAGACAAAACTGTATCCAAGTGTACTGGCATGACCAGTTATCAAAAATCTTTGGTTGATGTTCGATATTGCGTGGTTTGCCACGAAGTCTGTCTGCCACTTTGATTCTTAGCGCGCTTTTGAATAAAACACGATAAATCATAACCCTTATTATTACTCAACTGCACAAAGTAGAACACAAATAACCTGCGATAGTGTACGGTTATTTCGGCAGTTGGCTATTTTGTTCTGTACAAAAACCTGTTTAACCAGTCTGCTGCGGGCGCTACGCTTCTCTGTCCGCTTTGCTTTTCCCGCCTCATGAGAAATGAACAGAAAGACGCAGCAGAAGAAAAGCAGTCGGATAATAAATAACTTATTAGACGTTTTGGTGTGTAGTATCGCTGAGTATTTCTAATCGTTGTCTGTATTTTGACTCGCCCTGCGGGCTCGTCAAAATACGACACAACTCGTAAAAATACTCAGCCATACTAAACACCAAAGCGTCTAATAAGATATGTATACTGACAACACTGGATAGGAGAAGGAGGAGAGAACCATAGGCTCTTCAAAGAGAAGTGGGTGTAAATAACAGAAGAGTTTGAAGCTCAAATTTGGTCCAAAATTGTGGGTTTTTAAACTCAATCTTACATAAAAACTGGTCATCGTAGAGGCTTACCGCCAGCTCTCAGATACGAATCCATGTAATCAAATGTTAATTTATTAAATCCTCTTTCTTCACAATTAAGTGAAAGGTGCCTGATGTACTCAACGTCTTCATATAGAGGTAGGTGTTCACGTCCATTATGATTTTACTAAATTAGCCGCCAGCCTCCGAAAAATAACTCTCATCTGAAATTTTATCAGTATTCGACCAGACCACAATATAATGTATCTAATATATTATTAGAAATTGTCCTTTAAATCGAACTTAACAAAACGCCTCCACTTCTGGACTTCAGGGCCTCCATTACTGTCAATTGTTTGTACGACAATCAATTTGCTTCCATTCGATTCATTTTCCTGCGCATGTGCAGCAATCAGTCTACATTTAGTTCATTGCCAACACAATATAAGAGACAGTACTATGCTTCGCAAAGCACTGATGGAAGGAGCTATCGTTACTGAAAAACGAAAAAAAAGAATATCTCAGTTTAATTGATGTTTCAAGGAATTATAACTGAAAATTGAACGGCAATTTTTTTTTACTAACCTTGTGTGTTGAGCAGAATATCGTAAAATTGTCTTCGATGAAGGAACAACCTGAAAAATAATTTTAAAAATCTCAGAAAGAGAT